CGGCCGCCCGAGCCGTGCCCCTACCGAGGAGCCCTGCCCCAGCCGGGCGGTGGCTGCGGTCCTGGCCCTGATCCCATCCCGGCTGACTGCGCTGTAAGGAGGCGCGGCCGCCTTCCGCTGAGGCTTTTGGGCTGGTGAGGGGGGCTGTTTGATTCAGGAGCAATGTAACTACCCCAGAAACACCTGAGCAAATCACTCTGGTATCACAGATAAGCACCTACCTGTCTATTTATTCCCTCAAAAAGCAGATGGCGTAAAGTCCGTTGGTAATTTAAACGGCTCCATGGGCCAGACACTCTACTTATTTAGGTTTGTGGTTTAACATATCAGAAATATTTGGTTCAGTACTGCTTTTCTGACCGCACCTCAGTATGTATTCAAGTAACCATGATGACAAGCTGATCATTCAAAGTTAAACCATTTTTATGATCCAGGAGCTCTTAACACACCTTACCACCGTGTTTAAAACTCTTATTTTTGAACATAGTGTGGCTTCTACCACATTGACAGAAAAATGGAGTGACTTCCTCATTTTCTTATAAAATCAAGAAGACCATTAGCTGCTGGTCACTGTTTTGCTATGACGTGCTTGCTTCTCCTTTAGTTCTGTACGGTTCACGTGTAGCCGTGATCAGCTGGTGACAGTCAACGTTGAACTGTTTCTGATCTCGGCTTTATTTGCTGAAAGAAAGATCTGAGCTATTAAAGGATTTGATATTACAGACAGTTTCATACATGATCGTTGTGCTCTGGGGAAATCAGCATGCAATTATTGATTGCAAAACAATTGAAACTAAGCTGTGCAAATAAACTAGTTGTACATTTGGCAAATGATTTCTAAAGTTTTGCAAACAAATCAGAATCAAATCTACTCAGCTGACTTCTTTTTACAGGTCGCAGTCGAGTTCAGATGTTTACTTTTGACATGTTGACCTTTTTGGTGGCTTGACTGGCTACCAGGTTTCTCACAGAAAATTGTTTGAGCTGATCAGTACATGCTAAGGACGTCTCACTTTCAAGCAGGATAAAGTCACTGTTCCATATGACAGCTAACTTGTAGTGGGAGGAAGGTCACCAGCAAGAAGATGAAGAGGCTAGATTTATCCACTAACTAGCGGTTACAGTACAATGTACTGTGAACTTCAGAAACTATAATTACAATCCAGGTATTGTCAGAGCGGGGGCAAGGAGCCAGTTTTTACAACCTGCTTTAGGTGTGGTCTCATGAGCTGTCTGCCAGTGAAGATCCTTGCTTCAGCAATCCCTATGTTTACTCATTTGTTGTAGCAAAACCATAGGGTTTCAGCAGATCAGATAAATAGCAGAAAGGTTGTTAACAGAGATCAGTTTTCCAGTCCAGTTAGCCATGCAGTAGCAATGTGAATAAATTGCTTTACAGGTAAATTTAGGGGGATGGTCACTTACACTGCCACTAGTGCCAGAAAACAAACCTTTCGTATGAGAGACTTTAGGTCACACATGCACTCAGTATAGAGGAGGTAACGATGAAAGTCAAAACTTTGGTTGTAATCAACTTCATGATGTTTTTTGACAACTTTTAGGCTGTGGACTAGGTCTTCATAGTATGGTGTATTTTTTGTTTGGATTGAGAGCACATTTAAGTTTTAAAGAACGTTGAATGACGTTTTAGAAGCAGTTGGTCGAGAACCATGACTGACTGTGACTGAGAACTGAAGGAGAAGTAGGGCAGTTGGACAGAGACAAGGGAAGGAAAATCAAGACTCTTGAACAGATTACTGGAACAAAAAATTTTTGAACATGAGGTGAACTTCAGCCAGCTTCATAACCTTCTAAATAGTTTTAACTCTTACCCTTAAATTATTTTATTTACAGACTTTGTGAGTTAAAGGTTTTAATGGGCGTGTCGTTATGCACAAGAAGATAGTGTGTTGATTTGGTTTAGAAATTACTGGTTTCTGCATTTTGCAGACAAAACCAAGCTTATTTTGCCCAGTCTGAGAGCTGACTGGACATAATTCAGCTGCAAACCAGAAGCCTTGCACTCTGCATGGGCAGAGGTAGGCCTTATTTGTGTCAGCCCAGTGCCATAATAATGCACTTACAGGCATCCATTTCAGTGCTAGCTCGTTCCTAGGTTCTCTGTTTGGCCAGTGTAGATGTAGTCCCTGGGTGGCTAAAGTAACGTGGTAGCACTGCTGTAACTCATGGGACATTAACTGCCTGCAATCAAATTCTGGAATCACCCCGTGAAATTTCAAAGTTATTTACTTTTTGCTCACATTTAATGCTGCTAGTACTTTGGAGCATGCTGGCTTACATGTTCTCTCCACTGAGAAATTAAAAATGTGCAACCTTAAAATCAGAGTGTAGAAACCGATCCTTTATCTATTTACTTCAATCAACCAACACTGTCTACATTATCAATTGTAAAAGATAAATTGACCAAGACATCAGTGAAAACACATTTACAGATGACAAGCCAGTGAGTTTGTGGTTGTTTGGGGAACTGGAGACAAGTGGTACAGCTGAACTGGAGGGAGGTGGTTGTCACCAAGACAAAGAGATCAAACATTGCCTTCACATCAGGTTTGCCAGTATTGTGTAGTTTGATCATGAACTTCCAGATGCTATAAAAATTTTTAACATTTTCTGGATACAAGATTGCTTTGATTTCTGCACTTTGATTGTGCAGGATATAGAGATTTCTTTATAAGAACTTGGAATAATGTCACTGACAGCACTATCTACAATAGGAAGGAGTGGAAAACAAAACTTCTGTAAGTAGTCATGGTAATCTTAATGCCAGGTTTACTTGCTTATAATCTCAGTTTGCATTATGTACTTGCAAAACTATAGGTGTGAATTTCAGCGCAGAGTGGTAGAAAAACCGGGGTGCTTCAGCTGCAGGAAGAACTTTACACGAATGTCTTACTCTTTGTTGAGTTTTTTTTCCCCTTAACTGACGCCTTGCTGCTTTTGTAATTGTAGTGGCTTGTTGCTGATGCTCAGAATTAGTTTTCCTTTGTTTTAGTGTAGATTCAATAAATCTCAGTGTTAAGTTTTGCTCTTCAACTAGCTGTCTAACTCCTATGTAGAGCTCTGTTAAGTTTAGTTAAAGCTCTTATTTAAGGTCTTACTTGTTTAACCTGTCTCACAGCAGTGCTGTAAATAAAACCAGCTGTCAAGCTCTCATGCTAGCTTTTTATTTTCTTTTAAAATGCACTTCTTGTTCAGTTTCACATGTAGTTTTTGAGATTGCCCATATTGTCCCATAACTTTCCTAAAGTATCTATGGTTACTCAAAGCACTAGTCTTTTGTGCTTTTGTAAGTATTAAACAAGTCAAAACTACCGGTTATCTTTACAATGAGAAGATAGTGATTAAATTTTAATTTCTTGTATGAAGCACACTACTGTTTAATACTGAAGCTTTGGTTCTATGCTTTGACTTAGACACTGAGTGTATTTATTCAGGTATTGTGGCAGTGTGGCCTTCAAGTGATACATAACGAATCTGTGTTGGACTGATGTGACTGAAATGCAAAACTCAACTTCATTGGGTTAATAGGGAAATGCAAACAGTACCGGTAATTTTAAGATTGATTTTTATCATCGATTAAGATTGATCTGTGGGGTAGGTGGGTAGGATGAGGAAAAGGGGAGTATGCTTAAATTTTTTTAATATGTGTCCGTGACAGTTGTGCTTTGTGAATGTGCTGTAGGGACTTAGGCAGACTGTATAATCACGTCTGACTGCTCTCTACTAGGCAGAAGCTGAAGAAGATTGTCACTCTGATTTGGTAAGAACTGATGATAATGAAAGATCCGGTGAAGCAAATCTTCAGGTATGTATTTCATGCTAATGTGTTTTTACAAACATAGTACTCCTGTGGTTTAAGCTGCGTTACTTATGCTCATTTAGTTGCCACACATTTGTTGATCTGACAAATGCTTAATCTCTCTGCCCCTCCAAAAGTGAAATATGTAAATGTTGCATTGTGTTCCAAGTATCAAATTCAGTCTTCAGTTATCTGTGTAGATGAAAAGAAAGTTTGTGCCAGATTTGGAATTTCTTTGAATAACCGTAGAAATAGGACAGCAGTTTCTATATGGATCAAATTCCAGTTAAGTTGTCACTCTCTTCTGGAGGAGAAAGTTGATAAAAGCAGTCTAATAGAAAAGTGTGTTCTCTTACGGAACTAGAACTTCTGTGTAGATTGCGAGAGACAGGTAAAGTGTAACTTCCAAGATGCTGAAAAAAATGCATGGCAGGAATTATAACTTGTCTTGTTTCCTAGAGCACAGTACTTTTAAAAAGAGAAAGGAGTGTAAGGTCTTATTTGTATATTATATAAATGACAGCCTTGATTGTCATAAAGCTTAATATGCATGTGAAGAAAAAACTAGGTTTTCTAAATTTTAATTTCAAGAGCTAATTGACTTCTTGCTTAAGATAACTCTGCATAAACAAGAACCAACATCATGTCTAGAAAGAAGACGTTTCTATGGAGTCTTAGGTCATAACTGTAGAACTAACAACCACTTTTTGAAACATCAGTTTTTCTTCTGAGGTGAACAGTCCAGATAAAAGCACTTACGTTATTGAATGAGATTGAACAAGTACTTATGCGCTTTTTAAAAAAAATTTACTATGAAACAATCGCTATGTCTCTGTGTGTAAATTCACTGAAACCATTTAAGACTTGGAAGTTTAAAGCATGATTTTGAAATTATTTTTTGTGTTTATACTTCATATTTTCTCCTCAGAAGATGTCCTGTCTGAATATATGATACTAAATCAGAATTAATTGGATTTTTTTAGGCGGAGCTCCAGATGTTCAGAGCTCAGTGGATGTTTGAGCTTGCCCCAGGTATGAGTTCTAGTGGGTTGGAACCTCTGCCATGCAGAGCGTCTTCAAGAGGACCTGGAGTAAAGTCTGTAGATGCCAGAGGGAAACAGGAGATAGCAGAAGAGGAAAAGGTACAAAATAATAGATGTATAATTGGGAGGGGTTTTTTTGTGTATGTTAGTATTGCAGTTTAACTATCCTAAAAGCTAAGGCTGAATTAAATCTAGAGAAACAACAGAGGTGATTAACCTGTTGTCTCCATACTAATGTCTTTCCGTAATCCTACACTGATTTTTCAAGTTTTTATGCTTTGGCTTTTTTGTGTCACCTTCCCAGGCTGCTTCTGGAAAACTGTAGGCAAGGGGTGAGCAACAGGATAGGTTGTTGATTGGGAATTTCAGTTATGGCTTGTAGCACATGAATATGTCTTCTCACTCTGTTTATGGAATTATTTTATTCATCTCCTTCATAGGGTACAGTAGGAAAGATGAAAAATAATTCTAAGTGAAGCGACAGTGCACTTGTATTTGTAAGGAATTTAAGAAGTGTTCTGTGTAATTTATTGTACAGGCAAAAGAACTTTTCCTGAAAGCAGTGGAAGAAGAACAAAATGGGGCTCTTTATGAAGGTAATATGGAAGTCCGCAGTGAACACCTTTATTGCAGAGAAATCTAACACTCTCTGATTTGTGTGCAAGGCTGCATGATGCCAGTGAACTTAAAGTGCAGGCTAATAGTAATTTGAGAGCTCAATTATTTGGATAAGTAAACAAACTTGCTATGAAAGGAACCATGATATCACAGTTCTAAGGTTGAGGTGAAGCTGAAGTGAGATGAAGGAAAGAATTTCTAGCTTTCGGACAGAAATTTTGACAGAATTTCAGACAAATTTTCAGACAGTATTTTGAAATCTAGCAATTTAATGAAGCACTGGATTGCTTCTTCATGTAGCGTGCTTCTTTATATGACTTTTGTAACATGAGCATAGTAATGAATCAAGGCAATGTGCTGTATTTGCTGCCCTCACAGTTTTCTTCATACCACTTTGAACAGAACTACTTAACCCATGGAGTATTTTGTTGTTTGATTGGTTGGGTTTTGGTTTTGGTTTTTAATTTACACAGCATGCTAAGAGAGCTTCTTCAAGAATTCCTGAAGTGAATGTTTAAATGTAGTACTCTTATTTTATGAGATTTGCCATAAATATTTCAGATGCTTAGCTTGCTTACTGTCTTGCTATCAGCACTAGCAAAAATGGAAATTGAAAGTTTTCTTCCTCATATTTAGTTTTCAGAATGTATAGAGTAAGAAGCCTATCCTCAGTTCAAGTCCTGTAGGTCAGTAGTGGAGATACCAGTTTTCTATTTCTTTCGTGAAAAAAAAAAGGAGCGCAGAACGTACATGCTATCCTGCTCATCTGCTAGAGATTTTGGCCACCTTGGTTAAAGTGCAGGTGCAAAATATGTCAAGATAGACAAAACTGAGAGTACTCCGGAAGCTCCTGAACTGAGCCACCTGTTGAATACAAAATTTCCTCTTCACCGTGGGAGTTTTCCTTCCCTTGCAAGGGACTTCTGGTTGTTGTTCCAGATCTCAAATGAACTGAGAGAAATATGAGTCCCCAGTAGGTAATAAAATTAGTCGGTTCAGTTTCTAATTTATTGCATGTTTTTACGGGGCAGAATTACTTTAGGCTAAGACTTTTGTGTGTTGGGTATAGAATTAAATGCACAGTAAAAAAAGACATCAGAACTAAATCTGATATGTAGTCTACCATTTAGGAAGTCATGAAAGAACCTTCAAAATCTGCTGCATAGCAGCAGTGTCCAAGTAAATTAAAAAAAAAAAAGTGAGAAAAGCAGTCTATTTAAGCATTGCATATATAAAATGAAAGCTATAGCTTCATCTGCCAGAGTGCACTCCTTGTACATTAAACATAGTGGGAGAGAAGTAGTAACATCTAACAGAGTTGCATTCGCAAAGGTGTTTTAGGCATCTGGATTGCATGAATATGAATTTATTCTTTCTCAGATTAACTTGATTTGAAATTTAAAGAAACAGAACTAAACTGTTTCTACACATATATCTATATGAGACCTTAGAGACAAGGTCCTGTGCCAGACACAGATATATTACTGAGCACATGTTGGGACATCTGTTTTTAGACCACACTTTTATCTCCTGTCCTGGCCTAGGTCACCAGAATGCAAGTGGCATTTCAGCCTGCTTCTGAAATCTGCTGATCCTGACCTTTGTGAGAGTTATGTGCAGCAGCTTGTTCATGTTTAAGTACAGTACAGGCCTTGCTGCAAGATTAAATGCTAAAGTTGAGACTGATCTCTGTTTAGCTGGCTCCTGGTATTCCTCATCCTCAGCAGCCAAAGGATACTACTTGTCAGTCACTGGCCCTGACATGAACTCAAGGAAATAAGAACACTTCCTTCCCCAAAACTCAGGCTTCTCAGATTCCTTAGTGTGTCAAATTCTGAGCTCCACACTCACTGATGTTTGAATTTGGGTTTTGTTTTTAAGGGTCCAAACTGAGGGAGAGTTACCCTCTGATCTTGGTATCACCATGTGGGAATACAGAGACATACAAATACGTGTATGATCTTAATACCGGTTTTCAAACAGACTGAATGTACATACAGTGAATCCACTTAAAATAAGAAGGATCCGCAGAGTTAGCTCAGAAGAAAGACATTCTGTGACTGAAATAACAGTTCGTTCACACGGGGTGATTTTCCTGGGCCTATTTCTCTACTCAGTGTTTGTAGCATCTTTTGAATGTTAAAGGCAGAAGGACTTTCCGTGCATGCTAGAAGAAACCTGATCTGTCAGTTTTTTCTTCACGCCCCGTACTCTTGTGCTGGCTACATAGCTTTTTGAAAAGGCTGCTTTCCTCCAGTCCTGTTCTTCATCCTCAGTGTTTTGTGTGGCTTGCTTCTGTGCCTTCTGTAGTTTTCAGGGTTTTACCACAGTAAAATTTACTTGTTTTGTGTCTGTTGTTGAAGTTTTAAAATTACAACAATATTTTATTCATCTTTCTCAACTTTATAATGTTGTGTATGTCTGAATGACTGTCTATAGTGTCTATAGTGGGGATTTAAGGTACCTCCATTATCTTGCAAATTCTCTTTCATGTTCCTCATGGTTACTTACAAATATAATACTTAGAATGTTTATGGCTTCTTGAGAAAGCTTTGTAAGTGCTAGGCAACAAATGAAATCAGAACTTTGCCATATTTTAGTATAAAATTTTATACTCCATAATTGAATTTATAGTAGTTAAGGTTAATCTGTAAAAGCTGAAATGAATCTAAGAGAGCTCTTTATTCTGAAAGAATACATGAAGTTTTTAGTTTTCACAATAGGTGCTTAATGTGCCTGTCTTCTGTATTGAATTTAAACCTAATCAGTTTAGACTGAATAAGATTTACTGTGCAAAGGCATTTTCCACCTTTTTAGTGCTTTTAGCTGAAGCCATCTCTCTGAAAAAAATCTTTGCTTTGATAAGCTAGTATAAGCATCAGACATGTTTAAACATTAGGCCTTTATTTTTAGCCATCAAGTTTTACCGTCTAGCCATGCAGCTTGTACCTGACATAGAGTTTAAGATCACCTATACACGGTCCCCAGATGGTGATGGAGTTGGAAAGAGGTGGTAAGTATGAAAATTTACTAAGTGCATAGGAGTATGAAACCTGAAATTTTGTTTTTAAAGTATATGAATGCTATACTGTGATAAGCAGTTGGAAGTCTCTTAACATTTGGAAAACTTGTCTACTTTCATTTGAATAGACTGCTTCATAGAAAGTTTACAGATGCATTAGTCCAAGGAGGACCTTTCTATACTGTAGTTGAAAGAAGGTAACAGACTTGTTTGGAGCTTGTTAAATTCAAGTGGCAGGATTACAGATAATTACGTTGTTACTTAAGAAAAAAGCATCAGTCACTTTATTACTTTTGATTTCTGATTTTCAGATTTATGACGTATACATTTAGGATCATCTACAGAATTGTAGATGGCAAAAAGATCAATTAGTAAAAGCTTTGTACCATGGAATAAGTGTCGTAATTAAGCAAGGGAATATACTACTATTCTTGTGCTGCCTAACACAGCCAAATGGGAGCATTTCCAGTAAGCAGAGCAATACATTTGGAAGCTCATACATTGTGATCTGAGTAGTCTAGGCTTTCATCATTACAAGTGTCAGGATACCCCTAGGCTCAGTGCATCAGATGTGTAGCGGCTTAAGGTTGGCCTAACTTGAGCCCAAGACTTAACGTTTGAGGATAGGGTTTATGTTAGGGTCAAAACTTCTGTTACAGCTCAGATAGCATAGTGAAGACAAGCTTATGAAACAGAGCTTCCCAATTCACTATTTACTGCTAGCAGCAATAGATGTTGCTGATAGCTACAAGAAATCGAGAATATTAAAACTAAGAATAAAAGAGGAAAGTATGACCTTGTCTGTGTGGTATTACTAGCTCAGTCTTGTTGCCCCAGGGCAGTACAGCTTCTGTGCAGTAGTTGACTCAATACAAAAGAGAGTAAGAGGAGCCAAGTGCTTTATTTACATGTGTTACTTTAGTTTCTGAATGCATTGCTAGCATGAAATCTTTGCTGTGCATTTATGCACTAGGAAAAATACTGGATGATAAATTACAGTCATGTAAAAATCTTGGTTTTCTTAGGATTGTTTTCTTATTTTTGAATCATTCTCTACTCCCTTCATTAAGCCTCTCTGACACCAAATTGGGTGGGAGTGTTGATCTGCTGGAGGACAGGAAGGCTCTACAGAGGGATCTGGACAGGCTGAATCGATGGGCTGAGGCCAACTGTATGAGGTTCAACAAGGCCAAGTGCCGGGTCCTGCACTTGGGTCACAACAACCCCATGCAACGCTACAGGCTTGGGGACGAGTGGCTGGAAGGCTGCCTGGCGGAAAAAGACCTGGGGGTGTTGGTTGTCAGCCAGCTGAACATGAGCCAGCAGTGTGCCCAGGTGGCCAAGAAGGCCAGTGGCCTCCTGGCCTGTATCAGCAATAGTGTGACCAGCAGGACCAGGGCAGTGATTGTCCCCCTGTATTCGGCACTGGTGAGGCCGCACCTCAAGTGCTGTGTTCAGTTTTGGGCCCCCCCACAACAAGAAAGACCTTGAGGTGCTGGAGCGAGTCCAGAGAAGGGCAACGAAGGTGGTGAAGGGTCTGGAGCACAAGTCTGATGGGGAGCAGCTGAGGGAGCTGGGGGTGTTTAGTCTGGAGAAGAGGAGGCTGAGGGGAGACCTGGTCGCTCTCTACAATGATCTGAAAGGAGGTTGTAGTCAGGTGGAGGTCGGTCTCTTCTCCCAAGTAACGAGTGATAGGACAAGAGAAAATGGCCTCACGTTTCACCAGGGGAGGTTTAGATTTGATATTAATAAGAATTCCTTCACTGAAAAGGTTGTCAAGCCCTGGAACAGGCTCCTCAGGGAAGTGGTGGAGTCCCCATCCCTGGAGGTATTTAAAAGCTGTGTAGATGTGGCGCTTGGGGACATCGTTTAGTGGTGGGCTTGGCAGTGCTACATGAACAGTTGGACTCGATGATCTTAAAGGTCTTTTCCAACCTAAATGATTCTGTCATTCTATGAATTTTCATTCAGTTTTGTAAATGTTACTACACTGTCCCCAGCACTGCGTAGTAGTGAAGGAAAAACAGCCAGTACTCTATATGTTTTTAAAAGCAGTGTTTGTAGAGGTGTGTTTTTTCAATACATTCTAGTTGTGGTGTTTTTTCTTTCTGAATTACTATTGTAGGTGTTTCATACAATCTTGGTGAGAAAAAACAAATTACACAATTACATTTGAAAGAACAATTTACAGTGTGGCCTGTAGGTACTGGGACTGGCCATCATATTCATCGAAATAAAGGAAGGTATGTTCAGTGCAACATCTTACTATAGTCTTAGTTATGACAGGCCCAAATGTAATTGTCTTCTCTATAATACTTGAAAACCCTTTGGTAGGCCTACTAGTTGCTTGCTTATATTCTCAGCTCATTCTATTAGGCTTGTTTAGAGTAGAATTGAATAATGTTAAAAAGTGACTGAAAGATCTCTTAGCTAGCTTGGATACCAAGTCAGGGGAAAGAAAGTGATTTGTGATGAGATCAAGGAGAGTTGTGTAGTTTGTGGTTACTTGGTGCAAGCAAGCATGCACCTATGAAAGTATCATATTGTGGCATACAACTTGAAGATTTTTTTTAATGTGGTGATGTTCTTTTAGCACTTAGTAATCCTTTGAGTTTACTAACGAGTAGCAAGCATATTGTTTCTGTTCTGCTGTCTTGTTCTTGCTCCTGAAAGTTTTTATGTCTACCTATTTATAGAATTAGTGAAAATTGAGTTTTCTTAGAGGAAAGTTTTCCTTCATTATTGATGAATAAACCCACTGAGGATCACTCTTCAATGAAAAACGCAGGAGTAAAAAAAAACATAAATTCTTAATTGTTTTCAGTATCTTACATTGTGACAAGGGTTACAAAATGTAACTTTCTGTCAGTGATAATTCATTTCCTGTGTATGGCTTATCATAGGCAAAGTAAAAGATGAGATTTGTCTTTTCATGGGGTCAAGCAATTCTTCAGTGACTTCACTAAAAAGAGTGAATGGTGAACTCTCAAATCCCAAAAGAAACCAGAATTGGAATTAAATGCAAAAAAAAATAAAATGTTAATTGCCAGATGGATTCCAGCAAAATCTAAATCAACTTGGTAAGATTGCAGTAGTTGTTTTATTGTATGATGAAATGAGATTGCTTTAAAAACATACAGGAAACAACTATATTGAATGAGGGTAAGACAGCAGAGTGATGCCAAGAGAAGGACATCTCTTGGTATGTTTTGTCCAGTATCACAGTGTTGGCATTCCCCCTTTTGTAGTGTTGAGGATAACAAAGAGGATGACAAAATGGCTGATCTCCTGTCGGATTTCCAGCACCAGTTAACTCTTCAGGAATCTTCAGTCAAACTTTGTCAGCCTGAGGTTGATGTCAGCCAGACCCATATCTCAGGTATGAGTTAACATATGGTGTAAGAGTTCAGAGGCACAATTTATAGAGATGTTTCACTCTATTAGAACATTTGTCTCTTTCATTCTAAAGCCACCTTTAAAGAAGTGTACACAGTATCTCTTTGTTTACTTTTATAGTTAGATCTGAAGAAAAAAAGATCATCAACTAGCTAAATAGATCTTTTTCTCATACATGATTTTGCCTGTATCACACAAACTTTTCCGTGTGGTAGTATTACTAAGTAGAATTTTTTAGAATTGAAGTAAAATTTAAAAGTAGCAAGTCTAGGAACAGACTTGCTGAAGTAAGTGTATTCCAGTTTTCCTTCCAGTTAATGTTTGAAAAAGTGAAATGTGGGGGTTTTTTGTTTTGGTTCGGAAATATTTATTACAGTTCTTAAGTGTGAATAAGAGACAATTGTTCTGTGAAGAGTGTGCATCTTTGCATTTCCCATTTTCATCTGATTCTCTAGCAGAATTTTTACAACAAATATGTTTCCAGGTTCAGCAAGACTATATAACATAGCTACAAAGGGTTTGGAAGGTTAGTGATTTTCAGTGTTTCAGTTCTAGGACAGTCATCCTGAGACTTCCTTATGAGATCTAAATTGTAGAGAGTGTATATAAACTATGAACTCTCTTAAAATCAGATGCATCTAAAGCGTGTATGTTTTGCATCCGGAATTATCAGTTGCTCTTGGAAATCTTGGCCTGATCTCTGTTCTACTTAAGGAAGGAAAATAAAGTAAATGTAGCAAGCTGTTCAAGTCAAAACATAATGAAAACAGAATTTTTAAAAAAATTTATTTATTCTAACAACTATGGCATTGTACACTTGGGAAAGGATTTTTTTTTTTTTTTTTTTTGCCAGGAAAGTCAAGATGTTGTAGGCATTACTGTAAAATGATCTCAGGAGGTGTCTGTCTTGAGCAGCAATCTTAATCTCTTTCTAGTGTTATTTTCTACCTTTCTGCCAGTCCTGTGTTACAGTATCTTGTTTACCAACTCTTTTATAGCAGAATGAAAACTGTTAAAATCATGATGTCTGCTTCAGAAGTTAGTAGGCTGGAAAGGATCCCTCTTGGTCATCACAGTAGTACCATAGTCACAGACCTCAGCAACCCAAGGAAAACTGAAACCATGCGAAGCAACAGATTTGGCTGAACTGATGTCCTGTGTTGCATTCTACATATTATTGATATTTATAATCTTAGAGTATTGGTTAACTCTTAGCACAGGACAGGATCAGACCTCTGCTATTTAACTGACATACTGAATATATTTACTTCCCCACTCTAGTATATGAGCAGTTTTTCATGGTAGTTTTGTTTGTCTTTTACACAAGTAAAGGTTAGGACCGAGATAGCATTCTTCACCAGAAATACTATAATATTTTTCCTACAGAGTATGCCAGGTATCTGAAGCAAAGTATCTTAACAATGTGTAGTTTACTAGAAACTTAGAAACATGGATGATAAAATAGATAATCAGAGGCTTTGCCTGACTGGTGACTATCAGAATGGAAGATGTATACCTATTAGCACTAGTAAGAGATTTTTAAGCCTTTGTATATCCCATTTTCTGAGGCACTAAGAGTTCACATACAGAAGAGCTCATAATTGCCAGAGACTTTTTGTAGCAATAATCTGCACAACTTTACTGGAACATTAATTTAATGGTTGCAAATCCAGGCAATATAGCAGCTTTATGACTTCTCAATAATAAAACATAGAATTAAGTCAGATTCATGAAAAGAGATGCTTATTAAATGAATATGGAAACTGTTGCCCAATGAGTTGTATGTACTTTTTATCGTTAGTATTCTGAAGTATGAAACTTAAAGTTTCATCAGAGTCTATAGAAAAAAAAGAGTGTTGTTGGATCTGTGGGAGTGCAGCAATGCAGTTTTTTTAAGCAGCATGTTTTTTTCGCTAAAAGTCAGAATTCTATTAAATTGCAGTCTCTACCACGGTATTTCCAGGTAGTTACTGTTTAATGTACCTTTGTGCCACTCAGCTGTTTTCTCCATTTGATCTCAAAGCAGTTATAGTGAGTAAAATCATCAAGTCTTAAGTGCATGTGATGGTATAGTTCAAACTATAGGCTCTGGAAAGCAGCAGTAGCTGAAAATAAATGAAGTGTAATTCCTGATGGTATAAGATGAGTAAACAAGATTGTATGCAGCTGAAACAACAGAGAAAACTTAAGAGAGGAAGAAAGTTATTAGAAAGAATTTTGACTTGATTTCCCAGGGCTTTCTCACTGAACTTTTAATGCTAGGAAAATTACCATATGATCCTGTGGTGCTTTAATGTCATTATCTTGTATTACGTTAGAAAAACTCTTTCAATACTACAATGCTGTGTGATACCATTTTTAATCACTGGACCTGTACCACAAAATATAGAGTGATATCACATCAATTTCATAATGGATAGATTGTTCTTAGGACCTCCTATCCAATACTGAACCTGACCTGAGCTTATTTAGCTTGTCATGCAAAAGCAGCATGCTTTGAGGTAATGTTACACACTAGGTCAGTTTGGAGAAAAGACTGCTTTGCAGGCACTGTGGATGTGGAATTTTTGATATAACACCTTACAGTTGTGGATATTGTAGTCTAAAACTATGTTCTAGTTTTACAACTACCTACCCTGTTCTTTCGTTATATGACTTTTTTATAATGTATAGTCACTTTTTTAATTAAAGGTAATTTTTTGTTCGCTGGCGTCTGGCTACAATGTGAAAAAGTAGGATTTTTTTATGGAAAGTCAGAACTTCAGTAATGGTCAAACCTGGAATTATAGATCACCTGTTGATTTACAGGTTACCATCTAACAAGGATTTCTTTTCTCTTTTCAGTGTTGCCTTTGGAAGTACTAATGTACATTTTCCGATGGGTGGTTTCGAGTGACTTGGACCTAAGATCATTAGAGCAATTATCTCTTGTCTGTCGAGGATTTTACATTTGCGCCAGGTAATGTAGATAAGTTATCTAGAGTAAAGCTTCTCTCTGCTCTGAGGGAGAAAAAAGAACTTGTGCTCAAGCATATGTAAATAGTATGTAGAGATGGATGATAAATCCATAGGGCAAAATTGCCTGTGTTGTAAAGGTGGGTTTTGGTTTGTTTGGTGTTGTTTTGGTTTGTTTTTTTTTTCTTGTAGGCTGCTAAATCATACATGTAGGACTATATCCTGCTTTTTCTCCCTGTGGCAGTTTTCATGTTACGCTCCTCAGCTAATCAGCTTTTGAATAGACCACTAAATGGTATGTTAGATAGATGACTTCACTGTAAGAAAAAATGTTGTGGAAAATCTTACTTGCTCTGCCTTGTTTGAAAGTCAGAGTTACAAGGTATCCAAAATAATGTCTGTTGTGTTGTCATCATTTGGCCACACAGAGAAGTGCTGGGCTGCTGCAATGCAAGTCAGTAAGTCAGCTTCGTCGGGGGCCCAACTTAAATGCCTCTGTGCAAACGCTCGTAGCATGGGGAGTAAATGAGGAGTTGGAGACGTGTGTACGCCTGCAGGGCTGTGACCTTACTGGCATCACGGAGACGTGGCAGGATGGCTCCTACGACTGGAGTGTTGGAATGGAAGGGTACAGGGTCTTTGGGAAGGACAGGCAGCGGAGACGATGAGGGGGTGTCACCCTCTATGTCAGTGACCAGCTGGAGGGCATGGAGCTCTGCCTGGGGATGGATGAGGAGCCGACCGAGAGCCTATGGGTCAGGAGGGAGGGCAGGGATGGGACAGGTGACATTATAGTGGGGGTCTGCTACAGGCCACCCAACCAGGAGGGCCGAGCAGGTGAGACTCTCTCTAGGCAGATAGGAGCAGCCTCACGTTCACAAGCCCTGGGTCCTCACGGGGGACTTAAACCACCCCGATACCTGTTGGAGGGACAATACAGGAGGTTCCTGGAATGCGTTGAGGATAACTGCCTTCTCCAAGTGACAGAGGAGCCAGCGAGGAGAGGTGCT